CCATGCCACCCACATAACGGCGCGAGGACTAGTAAACCGCGTAGCTATCGGGGCGCATGGCACTGGTTTTTTGAAGAACCATGACACTCTCATCTCGTATAACAAACTAACAAAATATTTTTACCTGGCACAGAGACAATACCCTCCACCACACAGAAAACTAAGCTGGCCTATCAGGCTCTTACTCAAGCTTTTTCAGGTCATGGTGTACCTGAACGCCCCGCTATTGAACAAGATTTATTGCAAAATACAGCCAACTAATGGATGTTGCTTCTGTGGTGATGTAGGTAACTTGGCACGTGCTCTGGCGGTGCCCCGCGTTACGCTGTGGAGACGTCATGACCCCGTCCAAATGAGAGGGTGCTATTACAAGCTCCGGACTTGAACAACTGTTATAGGCAGTCCAACGGGCCCGCGACACAGCAGCGAGACTTGGTCTTTCTGTTCCGACATGGAGCGGCCCGCAACGTGCAGAAGCGCGTTCCAAAGGACCAAATAAAGTTCATTCATCCATCCACCCACACACAAAATAATTGTACAGAACATTTAAACCATATGAATGTGCATATACCTTTAGTGCAAAAGAAATGCAGAAAGATAACACTTTTCTGGTCAGACAATAATGATTTTTGTGGTAGCGTCTCAAGCGTCTTCAGCGGGGCACGATGTAGAGGTGATATGGAGAATCGCACAAATCAATATATTTTTTGAAAAAATTTTTGATGCTAAGTTTGGGTCTTTATAGTTCTTCTGGGGCGACTATTACATTTGTTGACTAGTGAGTAAAAGCGTATAGAAGCGGGCATGGGCCTGCCATCTTGCAGTTGGGCAGACCCTTCATTGCTCGGCCGCGGAAAGGCTCCAGTGGTCACTCTTTACGAAAGTATATTTCTTTATGGCTGCCAGGCCTACTCTTGGCAGCAAGGAATGCATTTATTACAATAGCACAGGATATAGCGTTCACAATTTCAGTTATATTTTCGTGTTTAGAAAACTTGCAAGACGAATGTAAATGGTACTAAAACTTTCATAAAAGCCTTTGCGTTCAAAAAATGGCGATTCTTCAGCTGCTCATGCGGCTTACCGCCATCTGTGTGAGAGGGGGACACTTCCGTTGGAACAAAAAAACAACCGTATGTGACGCAATAGTTGGTAAACAAGTTATGTCATTTTGTGTGCACTAACCTTGATCTCAAATCTGGTGTCAAATTACTTTTAATGGGCCCCTGATCACTAACGACTCGCGCTAAGGCGATTGTCGGTGAGTCATTTACGAGTGCGCTTCAAGTCAACGTCAGCTAATATAATACAGACTGAATACTGACTAGTTATGTTCAAGTGCACTACCGTTCATTTTGTCTCAATGTTACAAAAAAAAAAACTTATTCTTTGAACTTTTATTTGCCGTTTGTGGCATCTTCCACCAATGCATTAAGGCAACCAACAGCGTAGCAGCGTATACAAGTGATACCTTGCCGCATGACTTATTTGTTTCACAATACGCAGGTACTCTAGCATGCACAATGCTTGTGATTTTTGTTTTAACAGGATGAAAAGTCCTAGTCATGCCAAAATGTTGACATTTTAGTTTTATTCAATGGTCACAATTACTCAAATTCATTCCATTGCATGAAATGGCAATAAGAACAAGAACATCAGCGGACACTCCCAGCGTTATGTCTTTTTTTTGTATTATGCTCCGATAAATTACCGGTACGTATGCGAATGAAGACATGCGAATTGTACCGCGTGATAGATAACTTGGCAATCTGCTCACCGATAACGCGAATAGTAGACACTGCATGCTCAAGAAGGAAACCGGGCTGCAGGATTATTGATAGATGAAAGTCCAGCGAGCAGTGCTTTCCGAACCATTGCCCTTGTTTCTTATCTAGAAGACATGTGTCACCAGGCATACATTTGTTGCTACTGCATTCTTGCACATCACATCGTTTCCGCAGCTACCGACGAAAGCACTCAGTGTTAAGTGTAATTCGCATCATTCCGCTGCTCGTTAGACACTGCACTGAAGACATTCACTAAGGATAAAACGCACCTAACATTTTCGTACACAACAGAGTCGCAAGCAGGCTTAGAACACTAAAAAACGTGAGGGGGTGTGTCTTCGCAGACGAATGTTACGAGCGGGCCTTGCCTTGTGTGCCTATGTAGTGCAAGGGCTGGCTGCACTAAGTAATAATAGCATGGGCCATGGGCGCTAAAAAAAGATTTTTCGTCATATTAAAACCATCATAAATTCTTTGTTCATTACACCTATGTAATATTGTTGTGGAAAAGAAATCTCATTTGTAAAACTGATTGATTGCTTCGACTTTGAAACTTGGTTTTTCCTTATTAAGGCAGGTGCACACCGGCGACTAGGAGCGGTCGCACGACCATTTGGGACTGGTCGCAAGCAGTCGCGAACGGTCGCAAAGCGACTGCTTTGGCTAGTCGCTTCCTGGCCGATTTTTTGGTCACGCGACTGCAGTCGCAAAACAGTTGGAACCAATCAGCGAAGACCAGAAGTGACGTCAGCTTTGTTTACATCCAGGCTTCTCGATTGTTTTTTTTTTCTCATTACGCTGGCCCACTGCCGCGAGGTACGAATAACGAGTGTGTTCCTCCATGGATGTTTTTTCGCGTCTGGCGAACGCTACCATGACCCCCTTTGAGTACTCGGCCGAGCTCCTAATCGACGTGATTAAAATGTACGCAAGATTGGACGAAGAAGGACCGGGCTTGGGCAGAGATCAGAGACATGTTCGGCATGTCGAGTAAGTACCGAGATTTTGTATTTGAATAGCTATATAAGCAAGAACAGTAGTGTAGTGCATGGCTGGCGTTGAATGAACAATGAAAATATTGGTATTTGTACTGCAAGGTGACATGGTTAGTTTGCATTAGATGTATTGACAGTGATGTATGCGAGCGCAGTTGTGTGCACGTTTATTCTCGCGACTTTCCGAGTTTAACATCAAAATCTATGTGAAAGAATATTGCATATCTGATATTAAAGCTCAGACGTTCAAAATACTGCTCGCGGTTTGCGACTCACCTCGCGCATGCTCCTTGCCGTGTTTTTACGTCATCGTCACGCCAAGAAAATGTGTGCTTTTGTGAACGTGCGGCCTTTGCAATGCATTACATCGAGTGCGCGGTGAGGGAGGGGGGTGCAAGCGTAATTTTACTTATGTGTTGCAATTCTACTGTTTTAAAAAAAGATTACAAAGTAGCTTCTGCTTTGAGCGCATTTTGTGTGCTTCATAGAGGAGCGTGTAATTAAGACATACAAAACATGTTTAGCAGCACACTCTAATGTCTGGATTTGTGAGTCAGACAGGCTGTTGATGCCAAATGACATGCAATTGTGAAAAACAAAAAAGATATGGTAGTGTTCTGGTGGCAGGGCGAACACTGAAGGAAAGCACGGATGGGGGAATTTATTCCTCTGTTATGTGGCCCATATCTAATCTTTGTTTCTTCACGATTGTTCCTTTCCTCTCCTGTGTTTGCCTATTGGTGCCTTTATCTCTCGATTATTCCTCTTTCTTTCCAGAGGTTATATCTCTCCGCTTCCTACTGTGCCTCGTTTCTGTTTCTTCGTTCCTATATTTTAAAGCCAATTTTTCATGTCTGCTTCTATGAGTTGCTATGTTTTCATGTTTTGGTTCCTTTTTTTTTCTTATATTTTCCTTCCTCTCGCTCTCCCTACGTTACACTTTAAGTCATATACTACGTTTGTTTCATTTCTTTCTCTCGAAAATTGTCATCTTCTAGTTAGTTTCATCCTTCTTTTCAAGTTATTTAACGTTTGCTTTTGTTTGACAACACTCGCTCCCGCTGTACACGGCGGGGCGCTTGGCCGTTATCAATGGCATATGCTCACCTGTGGAGTTTTGCACAGTGCAGTAATGCTTCAAAAGCTTCACTGAGAAGGTGATGAAGACATCATGTGCTGGTTCATGAAATAGACTTTTTACATGTGAACCTCAGTTGCTGACAGCATAAACAGCCTCTTTGTTACAATAGCTTGGCAGACAAGCTTAGCTTCAAGAAACAGAGTACATACCTCTTTGCATAATTAATCATTGCTTCAGCTGTGATGTCGTGCACATGTAGGCGGACGGTGCGAAACACTAGGTGGGTGTCAACTCTGGAATCCTCGACTGCAGGTGCTCTCAATCATGTCGTGGTTTTGCAATGTTAAGCCCCTACCAATACTTTAGTATAGATTGCATGCGATTCATTTTGATGCCCAATATTCATATTTCTAGGGTGCTGCAACCGAAATGTTCCGGGCAAAGAAAATAAAGACCGCTCACAATTGTGCAGTAGTAAAGTAGAAAATTTATCAGCGATACAGTATGCACAAGACATTGTTACAGCAAGGGTTTTGTTTTCAGGTGTCCTTGTTAAGAAACGATTTAAGAACCTTCATGATATCTTCAAAAGGAAAAAATATACGTGAGAAACAAAGAAGCGGAGCCGGAGCAGCGGACATTCCAACAATAAATTGGCCCCATTTTGAGGCCATGCTTGAATTAATGGAATGTGAGTCTGAGCCTGAGGCATAAGTTCAGTATTTGCTGACTATTGAGTACTAAACAGGGAAAGTGTATTTATTTCACATGACTGTTGATTGATCGATATGTGGGGTTTAATGTCCCAAAACCACCATATGATTATGAGAGACGCCATAGTGGAGGGCTCTGGAAATTTCGACCACCTGGGGTTCTTTAACGTGCACCCAAATCTGAGCACATGGGCCTACAACATTTCCGCCTCCATCGGAAATGCAGCCGCTACAGCCGGGATTCGAACCCGCGACCTGCGGGTCAGTAGCCGAGTACCTTAGCCACTGGACCACCGCGGCGGGGCTTCACATGACTGTTATACATACACATAAATACACACATATAAATACACAGAAGTACACTGCACATAAACATAGAAGTCCCAGGAGGTAATTCACAGTGGGCATGCATGTGTTCAGAACATAGTGGCAATGGGCTGTTTTAATGTCGAATAATTGCGGATACAGCTATGAAGAATAACTCTGTGCATCATTCTTTCAGGGTACTGTGCAACATGAGTGCCATTGACCAAAGGTAATGAATGATGCTTACCCTTCATTGAACAAAAAATGAAATCTTTTGGTTAGCATAGCACAATGCATCAAAACAACACAAAAATATAGCATACCGTACAACTGGCATGTGGACAGCTTCACAAAACAGAACTTCGAACACCAAGAATGAGAGAATTGAGTGTACTTCTGTGTCATTCACAGTTCTCAGTTACCGAAAGAAAGAAGGCTTAATATAAAATCTAAATATCTGGAGAGATCGCTTATTGCATGTGTCATGAGGCTGTTCATAGGCAAGCATTACACATATTCATTACAAGAATGCAGCTTGAGTATGTATATTGTAACAAAACAGTAAAAATGCTCTAAAGATGTACACAATAGCACTGATATAATCGCATATTGCATGTTCTCTTGCAGCAGCCACATAATAGCAGATGAGGCTAACGAGAGGTGAGCATGCACAAAAATGTTCGGTATCATGTGCATGCGCTTGAAGTTCTACACGCATGGATTTGGACCTAGAAACATTACTTTTTATTGCTAGATGATTGTACTTTGCAAAATTATGAAAAACGCAAGCATGTTTGAAAAATGGTGTTCAATTCATTAGCTTGCCCTAACCACTGCATTTTTTAAAATACATTCAGCACTCAACACTGAACAGAAGCAGACAAGAATACATGAGGGCACAGGCATTGTTTCTGTGTGAATGTGGTTATTGTGCAACGTTAAATATTTCTGAAAAAGCAAAGTATTAATCAGTGACAGGCTGCAATTAAGCAAACTAATGCATTATCTACACACACTGGCAACACATTCATGTCATTTCGTTATGAACAAGTGCCCAGCACTGATTGCTATACAAGTGAGCTGAATAATGTGAACCATTCACTCATTTGTAGCAGCAAAATGATGCTGCGAAAGTTGTAAGCAATATGTGTTCAAGAAGCATAATGACAGCACACGCAGTTTCATCAGACACATCGTTGCACAGCCATTTAAGATTGACTGTATAAATTTCATTCACATAGCCAGTGAGATATCTCTTGTTCTCATTTCGATGTGCAGCCTACATAGCATTTTATTAACATAATAGGCACATTAAACTTCTGTATGCACACCTTCTATACAGCAGTGCTTAATCAAGAACGCAAGCGACTTCTTATGATGATTAAACCTCGTGTTGAGTGCAATCATATTGTCATTTTAACTCCCAAAGAATGCCTAAAACAGTTCATATACTAGTGGCACCATCAAATACACAGAGAGAAGTTTTCATCACTGCAGTTCACCGCCTCGGCCAAGCCATGCAGCGGAACCTGAACGTACCTCTGATACGGCTGAGGAGACTGGTGTCGACATCTGCAGCAATGAGTAAAACCTTTATGAATCCGCCTAAGTAATGACAAATGAAGCGCATGCATAGATAGCCAACATAAAAACATGTTTTGTAACTTTCTTCGTGTTCTAGCACATTTGGAGAATGTGTTTAATGTTTTCACAACAGATTCTGCTGCAGGCAAATGTAACACTTCATAAGTTGTATAGTAATACTGACCCGTGTCTGCGTGTGAATGACAACGATGATGTGGGGATTTAGCAGACACCAAGTAGTGGGCCTCTGGCTTGACTCAACAACAAAGAAGACAATCTTGCGGCTTAGCTGTTGAAAACACGCTGCTTTCTCTGCCTCAAGGCGTACTTGTGCTTTGTTCGCGTTGTACTGCGACACTGGTGGAGGTGCTGGCCCGCGACACCACCTGATGCTCCACATTCCCACGGGGAGCCGTTCATCCAGTCCAGAAGCACTTGTCGACACTCCCGTGCATCGCTTCAGTCGTCGCTTGCGAAGCCTCCCTCCAGAGTTCACCCCCTCGCAGGAACACTCTACAAGGCAGCGCTCACATCTCCCAATGGCCACCGCCAGTCCACAACAGTTACTACGAGACAGTAGTCTACCAACCCCATCTCAGGTAACCTTTTTTTCACCACTGGTGCCTGATCGCTTTGGTGGTGGAGCACATGAAGACGTCGAAGACTGGCTTCATCACTATGAACGTGTCGCCAACACCAACTAGTGGTCTCTTGAACAAAGGCTTTCCCGCGCCTATTTCTATCTCGACGACAGTGCTCGTACTTGGTACGAGAACAGAGAAGGCAGTTTGTCAATATGGAGTGACTTTAAAAGAGGGATGATTGACACATTTGCCGATGTTGACCGGCGCGAACATGCGCAACATATACTCGAGCTACGGGTTCAGAAACCCAATGAAACGGTCGCAATGTTCGCTGAGGACATGGCCCGTCTCTTCCGAAAAGCTGACCCGCACATGACCGACGACAAAAAGTTACGCTACCTCATGCGTGGTGTTAAAGAGCAATTGTTCGCCGGACTTTTGCGGAACCTGCCAAGCACCATAACAGACTTCATCAAAGAAGCTACGGCTATCGAGCGGGCGCTTCAACTACGATGCAGACAATACGATCGCTTGTCCAGCAGCACCCACACTCAACTCGCCGCTACGACATCTGATAATCACAGCTCGTTACGCGATTTAATACGAGAGATTGTTCGCGAAGAGCTGCTGAAGCTGCGGACTCTGGTCACGGAACCACCCACGGCGTCTGTCGCTGAAGTCGTCCGCGAAGAAATACGCCAAGCGTTTTCGGCAGCTGATCCTACTCACGATCAGCGACCCATGAGCTACGCAGCCGCGCTTCGCCGCCTGCCGCCCGTTCCGCTGTCGTACCGCCAGCCATCGACAGCCGTTTCTTGGTCGCCACCGCAAGAACAGACACCGCGGCGCCCTTCCGTCGTGCCACCGCATGAAATGCTGCCGTACGAAGAGCCGTCTCCCAACGAGACACGGCATTTACAACATTATGAGCCGTTGAGGCGTCCACAGCTTCGTAAAACAGACGTATGGCGCACCGTGGATAGACGTCCGCTTTGTTTTACTTGCGGAGGTGTCGGCCACATTTCTCGTCATTGCTGGCACCGCGGCGACACGTTTCGACCTCTTCGGCAATGGTCTGACGATCGACGCCCCAACGACGACTACCCACCACGCCGGGACGCTGATTCTCAACGACCTTCCTTGTCTCGGTTCCATTTTGACAACCGCCGAGCCAACAATGACGACGGTGAGCCTAATTACCAGCCAGGTTTGGGACGTCGACCACGTTCTCCGTCTCCGGCATATTCGCCTTCGTCGCGCCACCGCACTACAGCCGACGCCAGCGGAAGAAGGTCACCAAGTCCACGCCGGGGAAACTGAAGGCGGCGACCTCCGGGGGTGAGGTTGCAGGCCGCCAAGGCGACGAAAAAAGGCCCCCGTTACTCTTACCACAGGACGCCGTAAAGCCGACTAGTTATAACGTTGACGAAACTGTGACCACAGATCTTACCGTTTTTGTAGACGGACAGCAAGTAACAGCCTTAGTTGACACCGGTGCCGACTTTTCTATCATAAGTGAAAACCTTGCCGTGCGCCTAAAAAAAGTGAAGACTACGTGGACAGGACCTCACCTGAGGACAGCAGGCGGCCAGCTGTTGATGCCTGTCGGAAGGTGTACAGCGAGACTCGGCATCGGCAGCTCTTCTTTCGTGGCGACGTTTGTCATCCTCACCTCATGTTGCAAGGACCTGATCATAGGGATGGACTTCTTAAGAGAATATGGTGCCATCATCACCATCCCGGACCGTTCAATTACGTTCCGCAACAGCCCTGGTTTGGTTGACTGTTCAGACGCAATACGTAACACTTTACGTATAATTGATGATGATGTGGTCGTCCCGCCACGGTCATGCACTCTTGTTTCGGTGGAAGGGCACGAAGCGTTTGATGGCGAAGGCATTGCCGACCAAATTGGCTCGCTGCTATTTAGCCATGGCATTTCGGTCGCACGAGGTATCGTCCGTCTCACTGGTGGGCGCACGAATTTACTTTTGACCAACTTCAGTACTGAGCGCCGGCACCTTCCGAAGGGCACAGCTATTGCTTCTTACGACAATATCGTAGACATGCGAGGCAGTTTATGTTTATCGGTATTAGACGAAGCGCCTAATCAAGAGCCAGAACCCGTTCTCGATGTTAGTCCCACTCTGTCAGAGGATGACCAACAGAGACTTCTTCAGCTACTAGCCGAATTCCACGACTGCTTTTCATCGACCTCACGAGTTGGTCGAACACCTTTGACAAAGCATCGAATAATCACCGAGGACACGGCGCGACCTATTCACCAGAACCCTTATCGTGCAGCTTTAAAGGAACGCGAAGCCATACAACAACAAGTCGCGAAAATGCTTGAAGATGAAGTAATTCAACCGTCACAGAGCCCCTGGGCATCGCCTGTAGTGCTAGTAAAGAAAAAGGACGGCACGCTGCGTTTTTGCGTGGACTACAGGAAGCTGAATCGGGTGACCAAAAAAGATGTGTACCCGCTCCCACTTATTGATGACTCCCTTGACAGACTTCGGCACGCTCGCTACTTTTCTTCCATGGACTTGAGGAGTGGATACTGGCAGATCGAGGTAGACCCAAGAGACCGAGAGAAAACCGCTTTTGTGACGCCAGATGGTTTATACGAGTTTAAAGTCTTGCCTTTCGGTTTGTGCTCCACGCCCGCGACATTTCAAAGGCTTATGGACACGGTACTTTCGGGATTGAAGTGGAAGACGTGCCTAGTCTATCTGGACGACGTTGTAGTATTTTCAACGACTTTTGACGAGCATCTTCAAAGGCTGGAAGTTGCTTTACGTGCCATACGGTCTGCGGGCCTAACATTGAAGCCGGAAAAGTGTCATTTCTGTTTCCACGAACTTCAGTTTCTCGGTCACGTCGTCAGTAACGTAGGCATCCGACCCGATCCTGGAAAAATTGCCGCTGTCGCACGGTTCCCAGTACCCTCCAATAAGAAGGCTGTCAGACGCTTCCTGGGCCTTTGTGCCTATTATCGCCGATTTATCGCAGACTTTGCCCGCATCGCGTGGCCACTAACTCGTCTCACAAGAGACGACGTTGCCTTTGAGTGGAACGAAGAACAGGAGGCTGCCTTAAATGACCTGCGTCAACGTCTTCAAACGCCCCCAGTGCTTGCCCACTTCGATGAAGAAGCCCCGACGATGCTTCACACAGACGCAAGCAATGTTGGTCTGGGAGCTGTGCTTGTGCAGCAGCAAGAGGGCACAGAAAGGGTAATCGCTTACGCAAGCAGAACGTTAACACGTGCTGAGGCTAATTACTCTACAACTGAAAAGGAATGTCTCGCCGTGGTATGGGCGGTTTTAAAATTTCGCTTGTATTTATATGGCCGCCCTTTCAAAGTAATTAGCGAGCACCACTCATTGTGCTGGTTAACAAGTCTAAAAGACCCTACCGGGCGATTAGCGCGTTGGAGTCTCAGGCTGCAAGAATTCGATATTGTAGTCGTACACAAGTCAGGCAAGCGACATATGGACGCCGACTGTCTGTCCCGTTCACCCATTGAGTCGGCAACCCTATCTGAAGAGGAGGAAATGGCAATTCTCGGTGTCATCGACACGACCGCCATTGCGCAGCAACAACGTGACGACGCTGAGTTGCTTGGCCTTATTAACTACTTGGATGGCAGATCTCAGAAGGCGCCAAGAGTTTTCGCAAGAGTGTTGTCATCATTTTGTTTACGGGACGGAGTACTCTACAAAAGAAACTTTTCGCCGACGGGATCTGCCTATCTGCTCGTCATCCCAGCAGCCCTTCTTACCGAAGTACTCAAAGCATGCCACAACGAGGTGAGCTCTGGCCATTTGGGTTACACGAGAACGTTGGCCAGAATACAGCAAAAGTATTACTGGCCGAGACTAACCACAGTCGTGAAGCACCACGTCCGTGCCTGTCTCGACTGCCAGCGACGCAAGTCACCACCAACTAAACCAGCTGGCCTCCTGCAACCCGTACAGGTCCCAACAGCTCCATTCTACCAGATCGGCATGGACGTTTTGGGCCCACTACCTACTTCTACTGCAGGGAACCGCTGGGTTATCATCGCGATGGATTATCTGACCCGTTATGCCGAGACAAAGGCTATCCAGAGAGGTACAGCAGCAGAGGTGGCAACATTTTTCATCGAGAACATTGTACTGAGGCATGGTGCACCATCCGTCGTGATCACAGACAGAGGAGCCGCATTTATGGCAGCTCTTTTGGATCACGTCCTCATGCTGAGTGGAACAGCGCATCGTAAGACCACCGCCTACCACCCACAAACGAACGGGCTGACAGAGCGTCTAAACAAAACCATTGAAGACATGCTTTCGATGTACGTAGACGTTGAACACAAAAATTGGGATGAAATCTTGCCGTACATAACGTTAGCGTACA